TACTTGGGTCGTGAAAATACTTTCCCTACAACACGTTGTTACTTGAAAACTAAATGGTTCACCGGTTGGACTAATGCGGTACTAGCCCCAATTACTTGTTCTATAATAGTGGGTAACATTAAAGGTGCCGTTCTTCCTTCAGAGGCGGATCTTTCGTCACCACCCGTGGATCTAAGTTTTCCAGCTCCTCTTCCTTGCAAGTTAAATAATCCCCTTAACAATTCTGCACCGGAAGCTGCATTGTCTCGTACTGTTCATTTGGGGGTGGAAACAGATGATACTGCTCTCGATAGCGAGGTAGCAGGATCACCTGTCCACTCGTCGGGTGAAAGTAAGGGTATTGCCTCCGGCACTCTCAATGTCTTGACTAGGGCTCAGACCATAACCCTGGTTTCTCCTACCTCCTCTTCTCCCACCTTGATTCCTTTTATTTTCCCAGATTTTATGTCCAAGGATGACTTTGTCAATATACAGCGCAATTGCCCTTCACTTCGGGATTGTCATAATCAAGCTTTTAACAACAAAGTTATCCATGGGAGATACGTATCTCATAAGTTTGAATATATTAATGGTATCTTATATAAATCGGTCTTTAAATCTCATTCTTCAGTGATAGATTATTCCCTACTTGTTGTTCCTAAACCATGCCGAGAGACTGTTCTTCAAATGGCTCATGATTTGCCAGTGACCGAACACTTGGCCCATCGTAAGACACTTATTTTTGGCCAAGCATGTACTTACAGGTTACAAAGAAGTATAGTTCTTGCAATAGGTATCAGGTGCTTACTGCACAAAATACACACACTCCTAAATCCTGTATATTTATTAAATCTAAAACTTCCCTCCTGCAGAAACGAGATACTCCACCATAGAAAAGGAATGTTTGGCTCTTGTGTGGGGTATCTCCAAGCTTAAATTTTATCTACTGGGAAAAGAATTAATTTTAGAAATGGATCACAAACCTTTGATATACCTAGAAACTTTTAAGGGAACCAACAGTCACCTCTTGAGGTGAACATTGGCTCTCCAAGCTTTTAAGTTCCATATTGTGTATATCAATGGTTCATCCAATTATTTCTCTGACTGGTTAAGTCGTGACAGTCAGTAGAAGATTTGTTGTCTTCGCGACTTCCACGTGTTAGAACTTTTTCCTCGCCTATTCTTCTTATACTCCTTGACTATAAGTCTTGGTATGGGGGAGTGTGAGGGGAAAAGTTCAATAGATAGGAGTAGCGAGGGAGTATATAATAACAATAGTTTCATTGCCAGCTACTTGTTAAGGTAGGGTAAGTCCAGTTCCCGCTATTCCCCCTCCCCAAAAGTGATAGTTTGATTGCCGGCTGCTTGTTAAGGTAGGGTCAGTCTAGCTCCCGCTATCCCTTCCCCTCCCTCTTCCCCCCCCCGAAAGGTGACGTGTGGGGCTCCGGTCAAATAGTAAATCACTCGACTCACAGCTCCCAGCACTACTGTAAGTACATGCCTGATCATATTTTAGTGGACTTATTGGTTGAAAGCTTCACTTTTGACCAATAATTAATTTAGTCCTTTCAGTCTTGATCTGTTAAATGTTTTAATAATCACCACATCTTTTAGGTATTGTACTTATCATGGAGAGTGATTTCTTAAGCAGTGGGTAACCTGTCTCTCTTTACAGCTTGGAATAACAGAGTGGGTCACCTGCCAACCAACGAGAAGAATAGAAGGAGACGGACTAACGTCCTGAGACGTCCCATGTGTAATCTACTTACCAGTTATGTAAGCCAACGCAGGAACTAACCCCTCATCATAGCAGTGGTAACGAACTTGTTTTCCTGTCATCTGAAGTAATTCACGGCTATACTCTGTGAAGAACGAGCCGGTGGTGGTCACCAACACCTGCTAACCCCCCCCACATCAGCAACGGCTACGATTTCAACAACACGCAGTGTCACCAACACCTGACACCCCATTACCACAATATACCTGTATTAGCGTTGAGTTCAAATGTAATTTTTTCATTTCATTTTTCAATTTTCTTTCAATTAGGATACCCATTCATGTTTTATTGTTTTACATTTTCTGTTTCTAAATAATAAAACGTTTATCACTGTCTGGCCCGGTGGCCTGGTGGCTAAAGCTCCCGCTTCACACACGGAGGGCCCGGGTTCGATTCCCGGCGGGTGGAAACATTTCGACACGTTTCCTTACACCTGTTGTCCTGTTCACCTAGCAGCAAATAGGTACCTGGGTGTTAGTCGACTGGAGTGGGTCGCATCCTGGGGGACAAGATTAAGGACCCCAATGGAAATAAGTTAGACAGTCCTCGATGACGCACTGACTTTCTTGGGTTATCCTGGGTGGCTAACCCTCCGGGGATTAAAAATCCGAACGAAATCTTATCTTATCTTTCCTGAGGAGGAGCCAGCCTTGGTAATACTGACTGAAGTTGTTACAGGGCTGAGTAAGCCTTCACAATCACCCTCGAAGGCAGTTTTGAGGTGGTCAGTCCCTCGGCGTGGAGAAGGGTTCAATTCCATAGTCTGTGTGGAAAATTGCATTTAGCTGAATGTATCATTATATACATAACAGTAAATGAACCAAGATAATTATTATTTATCAGTTAGACGGTTCCTAAACCTGTATTCCCTGGAACGCAGGCGGGAGAGATACATGATTATATACACCTGGAAAATCCTAGAGGGACTAGTACCGAACTTGCACACGAAAATCACTCACTATGAAAGCAAAAGACTTGGCAGACGATGCAACATCCCCCCAATGAAAAGCAGGGGTGTCACTAACACGTTAAGAGGCCATACAATAAGTGTCAGGGGCCCAAGACTGCTCAACTGCCTCCCAGCATACATAAGGGGGATTACCAACAGACCCCTGGCAGTCTTCAAGCTGGCACTGGACAAGCACCTATAGTCGGTTCCTGACCAGCCGGACTGTGGCTCGTACGTTGGTTTGCGTGCAGCCAGCAGTAACAGCCTGGTTGATCAGGCTCTGATCCACCAGGAGGCCTGGTCACAGACCAGGCCATGGGGGCATTGACCCCCGGAACTCTCTCCAGGTAAACTCCAGGTAGACAAGTAGGAATTTGGGACACCTAGGTCGCAAAAAATGTCCCCCTTCGATACCTACCACTGTCATATCCACAAATTGCTCTGGACCTATTAATCATAAATGAAATATACATCACCAGGAATGCTGGTAAATATATAAATTTGTGGACTGTATATTAAATTAAAAAATGATTATATATAAATACACATTTATATAACAGAAGGAGAATATATCTTAATCATAACACTCACCAATTTGACTAGAAATCAAGGTGTATCATACTCAGAAAACCTCTGTCTATACATGAAAATAACTGGCCAGAGTTACAACGTAACAGACTTATCTGAGGTTCCTGGAGCTGTCTTGTTCAATCGCCTGATATCTCAAGTTATGCAGGAATGCATATCCAACAATTTCGCCTCCTATTTGAGAGGTGTCATCCCAATTTTAACTTCTAGAGCACGAAAAATTCTTCCCATTACACTAACGTTTACTTGGCTCATTCAAACCAAAATGGCGACTCTCTCTTTTTTTTCGATAACATACTTCTTTTAAAAATACAATATAGGGCATCTATTTACCTATAAATTACCGTATTTCCGGAAAATATATACAGTATTTTCCACAGTCTGTAACTCGATAATAGCTCAGTGGCAAGACTGTTGGGCTTACAATCCAGGTCCAGGTGAACGCATTAGTTGGTCTTCCTTACACCCCGCTTATCTTGCCCACTTAGCAGTGAAAACTGGTGCCAATGTGTTAGTTGACTGTAATGGAATACATCTAGGAGAAATAATATCATGCCAATGTGTGGAAACTCCATTTCCAGTGGACGTGATATCCTGCTTAAAATGTCAATGTAAAACAAATCGTCAATCCTGCTTAATTGATGCTTAGTAAGTAAACTAAGCAAATGCTACTATCTATAATGTTTTCCATAGTGCACTAAATTGTCTTGCCTAGTGCAGCCTAAACAGCTAGTTTATCACAAAATGTGTCCCGTAATTCGATTGCTTACACACTCAACTCCCACACTGAAGTCCGTAGCTCGATCCTTGGTACTGCTGGAAACATTAGGATGGGTGTTAGTCGACCAGTGTGGGTTGCATCCTGGAGTTTACCTGGAGAGAGTTCCGGGGGTCAACGCCCCCGCGGCCCGGTCTGTGACCAGGCCTCCTGGTGGATCAGAGCCTGATCAACCAGGCTGTTGCTGCTGGCTGCACGCAAACCAACGTACGAGCCACAGCCCGGCTGATCCGGAACTGACTTTAGGTGCTTGTCCAGTGCCAGCTTGAAGACTGCCAGGGGTCTGTTGGTAATCCCCCTTATGTGTGCTGGGAACAAAATTAACCTAATTTGCTAGAAATGCTCTGCATAAAAAGGGGCTTTCTAGATAACAGTATGTCATTGATGTCAACTAGGCCTGTATGTATTGTACATGTACTTGTAGAAATAAATATTATTAATAATATAAAGAGAATTACAGCGGTTATCGTGGGTTTTTGGTTATATTGTCATTTGCAGGACAAAATGCTGATGCATAAGAAAATTTCTACTGGAAGTACTGAAGGTTTTTGAAACAGCATAATTTGATTCTTTTAGAATGGTTTTTATATAGAAAATTATGTAGAATTCATCCTACGAGAAGCCAAGACAATGGTATCAGTGCAATGTCAAGGACCCCGGTGGAAATAAGTCACTTTGACCTTTTTTTGGGTTATCCTAGGTTATTTATACTATGATAATTATACTTATGTGTACTTGTGCCTAAATAAATTTACACACTTACTTAGTGGTGTATATACTGATTTTAATGAAAGGTAACCGTTGAATGCGGTGAATCTCATTTAATAATAATAATAATAATAATAATAATAATAATAATTAATATAATAATAATAATAATAATAATAATAATATAGTAAGTTTTTATAACAATTACCTTTTGAGAAATGGAAATATATTTGCGTTTGCGCAGTAGAAGTAGCAACAGCAGCAGCAGCAGCTGGGCTGCCGCCATAAACATCACTTGAACCCTCGGCAGGGAACCTCTGTTTCATTCCATGTATTTACAGATGTTGGAGGTGTTGTCATTACATGAAAGTGATCGTTATCACGAGGCCAGCAGCCCAGCAACACCAAAATTACGCCAGCTTCACCTGCACTGCATTACGGCGCTTTATTTACTGGTTTTATTTGTGCAACATAATTACTTCCTGATGTTCACGTTCACTTGTTGCTTATTTAGAAAGTCATACTGTATATACCATTCATGGGAGGGGCACTATGATGATGGTTTAGGGCACTTGATTTAAGGAATTGAAACCATAGATGAAAGGACATGCAATAGATTTAAAGATGACCTAGGCGTATGCACTTGTCATTTTATTAAGTATTGTTGATATCTGTATACACATGACCCTTGTGGGTTTAGTGCTTAGTTTTGATATATGCACATGAACATAAATGAACACTACAGCAGGCCTATTAACCATGCTAAGCCGGTCCAACATATGCCCACTCGTGTACCCGTTAACCAATATTTAGACCTAAACGGACTTATTACCATAATGACGCTACCTGGCGTGGGAATATGTTCCATTTATCTACAAATATATTGCTAGTACTTCTCTGTCCTTTAAATCTAAATTTGCCAGATTTAAATCCATTGTTGCCAGCTTTGTCTTGGTCAGGTGTTTTCATCATATTTATATTCTTAGTTTTTTTTTTTTTTTTGTTTTCCTTTCGTACACCTCACTCCTATTGTCCCATAATTCTGTCTTTCCAGAGTGCAAATTTAGGGCCTTCGACCTATCTTCATAGATAAGATTTTCATACATGGAAGTGACTCATCCTTTTTATATTTTCAAGTGCATTTATGTCCATTCTTTAATGAGGCTAAAACTCAGCAGCATAACCTAAATGATGCTCTACCAAATTTGTATCAAGTTCAGGTATAACCATAGGATTTTTATTTGTGCTTGTTGATATACTGCCAAGAATTGTTAACCTTGAGAACACGTGTATTGTTTTCTTGGCTTTAGATTTCTGCTAACCACTGCTTTTTTTTTTTTTTTAGCATTGTTTGACTAAGAGCTACATTAATTAGCTTACAAGTACCATAGCTAATTTCTTTTTCTAGTGTATTAGACCCTTACATTCATCTTCTTTGAATTGCATTTGCCATTACTGACCACATCGACCTATCCAGGTCATTCCGTAGCTTTTTAATGTCCTTGTCAGCTGTTACATGACAGCCTATTTTACTGTCAGTGGCAAATCTGTTGATGTTGCTATTTATTCCCTCATCTGTCATTTACATATTGTGAGCAAGGGTCCCAATACTGACCCCTGTGGCCCACTACTTGTAACAGGCCTCCAGTCTGATTACAGTGAACCCTCAACCAATGATATTAATCCGTTCCAGAGAGCTTGTCTTTAGCCAAGTTAATTTTCCCCATAAGAAATCATGGAAATCCAATTAGTCCGTTCCAGACAGCCAAAAGTATTAAAAAGTTTTTTTTCATGTGATATACATTTCCCTACAAAGAAAACAATGAGACATGCACAATAACTACATAAATGCTAAAATGACACTTGCCTTTAATGAAGAGTATTGATGAGTGATGAGACACTGTTTTTCTTGAAAACTGGGATTTTCAGAGTGATTCATGAGTAAAGGCTTCACTTTGCAATCCCCACTAGCATTACAACAAAACATGAGAGTTAGCCGGTCTTTCATAGGCTTGTGTCCTGGGAGTGCCAGTGTCCTGTTTGGCATTTTCTTCCAGAACAGGCCTGTTTTGTCACAATTGAACACTAGTTGGGGTTGGAATTTTTCAGCTTTGCCATGCCTTATCACACTGTGTATGCTACTATGATTCTTAAATCTCTCAAACCAACCTTTGCTGGCCTTAAATTCACCAATATGAGCACTAGTTTCAGGCATTTTTTCCTGCTCACCTGGGTGTTAGTCGACTGGTGTGGGTCGCATCTTGGAGGACAAGATTAAGGACCCCAATGGAAATAAGATAGTCCTCGATGATGCACCGACTTTCTTGGGTTATCCTCGGTGGCTAACCCTCTGGGGTTAATTGTTTCTCGGTAATTGTTTCTCGATAAGCCCCACCAACGACAATCTCTCCACATCTTCAAGTAGTACAGCTGATGGTGGTGCAGCAGCAGCTGACGGTGGTACAGCAACAGCAGCAGCTGACCATGGTACAGCAGCAGCTGATGGCATTACAGCAGCAGCTGATGGTGGTACAGCAACAGCTGACAGTGGTGCAGCAACAGCTGACCGTGGTGCAGCAACAGCTGACCGTGGTACGATAGCATTTCTCGCCCATTTTACTACAGGGTTGGCACTAGAAGCTTTCTTTTGACCCATGGTGGCTTATTTAGCAGTTACAAGCACTAAAAACAATGGAATAATACAAAATACATCGCATGTATGCATGACACCGTCCGCCTTGGCTTGTAAACAATGGCACACTAGCTGAAGGCAGGGCAGCTGAGGCGCTCAGGCTGGACGGCCGAAGGCAGATGCGTTTGGGATGAATGTCCTTACCTGAGTTTTTCACCATTGGTCGAGCCAATATTTTTACGCAGGAATGCATCGTTAGGCGATTTTATCATTAGACGATGCCAGCGTTGGTTGAGGGTCTACTGTACTTCCTATTTGCCCACACTTGTATCAGACAGCCATAATTTGACCCATGTTCTGCTACATCATAGTCTCTTGTACGAAACTCAAATTCCTTCACATACTCAAAATATTCATCATCTTGGTCTGCCATGAGTATGTTAATGATAAAGGTTAGTAAATTTGTAAGGCAAGAACACCCATTTCTAAAAATGTGGAGATTCAGTAATAGTTACCTTTCAAGGTGGAATTGAACTGCTTTTCCATTTATTGATGCCATGAACTTTCGTTTCATTAAAGCTTGTCAAATTGTTCTATAATATAAAGCAAGAATAGTGCCAGCTCTATAAATGGGTATAATATATCACATTTGCCACTTTCTATTATGTTACCAGTGTGTAATGGTCTGTTGAAGAGACTAGCAAATTTTCTTGTTAAATTCTTTAGAACCCTTGAAGACAGCTTATCAGGTCTGGATGATTTATTTGGTTTCAGTCTAATTGTTTGAGGTCCATGTCACAAGTGACTTTTCTTGCATAATTTATACTTATCCTGACTTGTATAAAAAAGTATTGATCTCAAGGATTTCATTTGATCTTTTATTTGATCTTTTAATCTCTTACCACTTTAATTTCATTGTTGTTTGAGTTTTATTTTTTGGGCTTCAGTTGAATATATTGGTAAATAAGGTGATCCTCTTCTCTATTGATGTGCCTGTAAATGCAACTCTTTTTACCCAAGAGATGTTATCTGTTGTTTATCCATTTAGGGTAATTTATATTTTATCTAATTTCTCTATTAGAAATACTGTATGTACAGTTTGTACAATGCTTTAAGAAAGTCATATTGGCAGCCATCACCACTATCTATCTGGCCTACGTCATGATAATCCCTAGTCAAGTAGGGTAATCCCTTGGGGCTATATAATCTGCAGGGTGAAAATTGGGGACTTCGACCTGATCGTTATGGTAAATCATTGGGGTACCGAGGCTGATTCCATGTTTACCAGAAAAGTCAATCAGGTTATTTCCTCTAGGTTGCTTTGATACAAATTCCAATTTCCAGTTACAGTCCTGAACTGTTTCTAGAAAGTCACTTGTGCACACACACTAGCTTTTAAATCTCTGCACCAAATTCACCTTAAACCAGCAAATAATAAAGACCCGGGCCGGGAGAATACCGGCGAAAAAAAAAAAAAAAAAAAAAAATAGCCAGCAAGTTTGGAGAATACACAGGACCTCATCTTCACTAACGTTGGTGATCTGATACGAAATATTACCATATCAAAAACAGTATACTCAGGTCACAACATAAGAGGTTCAGACATGTATGCATGACCCCAGACCAACAGAATGCGATTGGTCATGAGAGAGCCTTCACCAAATTCAACTTCAATAACAATAACACAAGATGGGACCAAATCAACCAGATCCTAAATGATATCAACTGGGAAGATATCCTAAGCAACACGGATCCAAACTTGTCTAGAACAAATTAACTCTGTGGTACTCGAGGTATGCTGAAGGCATATTCCTTTAAATAAAAGGAAGAGAAGATGTAAACTAGAAAGAGAAAGGCGCTCCCTATACAGGCGAAGGCAAATAATAACAGAGCGGCTAAAAGAGGCCAATACCTGTAATACGGAGGAGGCACTGGTCAGAGAAATAGCAAACATTGAACTTAAGTTTATTCAGTTATACACAAATACAGTTACACAGATTATCATACATAGCAGCATATGTGTAGAGAATGTAGGATAACCCAAAAAAGTCAGAGTACTTCATATCCATTGGGAAATAACAGGAGTCAAGAAAAGCCATAAATGAAATTGAAAGAAACTCAAAATATTTCTTTTCTTACGCCAAATGTAAGTTGAGAGCAACATCCAGTATTGGGCCTATACTTAGACGAGATGGGTCCTACACAGATGACAGCAAGGAAATGAGCGAGCTACTCAGGTCCCAGTATGACTGTTTTTAGTGATCCGCTAACCAAACTGAAAGTTGAAGACCTCAATTTTTTTTATTAGCAAGACAGAATTTGGTAGACTCAAACCTATCTGATGTTATCCTGATGCCAAATGACTTCAAAAAGGTGATAAATGACATGCCCATGCACTCTGCTCGAAGCCCAGACTCGTGGAACTGTGTTCATCAAGAACTGAGTGAACCCCCCCCCCCCATCATGTGGTTTTAACATCCTATGGAGAGGGAGCATAGACATGGGGTCATCCCACAGCTGCTAAAACACACAGCCCCACTCCACAAAGGGAGCAGTAAAGCAATAGCAAAGAACTACAGATCGATGGTGCTTACATCCCATATCATAAAAATTCTTGAAAGGGTTCTAAGAAGGAAGATCACCACTCGTCTAGATACCCGTCTGTTATACAGCTGAGGACAACGTGGGTTCAGAGCAGGCCGCTCCTGCCTGTCCCAACTTCTAGACCACTATGACAAGGTCCTGGATGCTCTAGAAGACAGACAAAATGCAGATGTAGTATACAAAGACTCTGCATAAGCCTTTAACAAGTGTGACCATGGTGTAATAGTGCACAAAATGCGTTATAAAGTAAGAACAGGAAAAGTTGGTAGATGGATCTATAATTTCCTAGCAAATAGAACACAAAGAGTAGTAGTAAACAGAGTGAGGTCTGAGGTGGCTACTGTGAAAAGTCTGTTCCACAAGGCACAGTACTTGCTCTCATCCTGTTCCTCCTCCTCATATCTGACATGTGGGGATGTTAACCACAGCACTGTCTTCCTTTGCAGATGACTCCCGAATTTGCATGACAATGTCCTCCATTGACGACACTGCAAGACTCCAGGAAGACATCAACCAAATTTTTAAATGGGCTGCAAAAAACTATGAATTGAAGTGATGAGAAATTTCAATTACTCTGATTAGGAAAACGTGAGGAAATTAAAGCTATATCAGAGTATAAAACAAATTCCAACCACAGAGTAGAGCAAAAAACTAAAAGACCTGGGAGTGATAATGTCAGAGGATGTTGCTTTCAAAGACCACAACATTGTATCAATTGCATCTGTTAGAAAAATGACAGGATGGATAACGAGAACCTTCAGAACTAGGGATGCCAAGCCCTTGATGACACTCTTCAGGTTGCTTATTTTATCTAGGCTGGATTATTACTGCACACTAACAGCACCTTTCAAGGCAAGTGAAATTGCTGACCTAGAAAATGTGCAGAGAATCTTCACTCCACACACAACTGTGATAAAACACCTCAATTACTGGGAATGCTTGAAATTCGGTAACTTGTACTCCCTAGAATGCAGGTGGGAGAGATACATGATTATATACACTTGGAAAATCCTAGGGGGATTAGTACCAAACTTCCACACTAAAATCACTCGCTATGAAAGCAAAAGACTCGACAGATGATGCAACATCCCCCTCCATTGAAAGGCTGGGGTGCCACTAGCATGATCAGAGACAACACAGTAAGTGTCAGGGGCCCAAGACTGTTCAGCTGCCCCCAGAATACATAAGAGGGATTACCAATAGACCCCTGGCTGTAGCGATTTTAATGTGTACCTGCACACCAGCACAGTGTGTAAGTACACCTACCATCTGACTTACGACCGAGTTCGGTTCCGAGAAACCGGTCGTAAGTCGAAATGGTCGTAAGTCGAACTTTACTGCTGAATATCAACAAAACATTTTTGTAATGACTTTATTTTATTGTTTTATTTTGGTATTTCATGTTTTACTTTACTTTTTATGCTGTTAGTACTGTATTTTATACTGTAAGGTTTAGGATAAACACTGTGTACAACACAAATAGTTGTTTATTTCCCAGAAATTTGGCATAAAAAACACAGTCGTAAGTCGAGTGGTCGTAAGTTGAGCAGGTCGTAAGTCAGATGGTAGGTGTATATTTAGGTACAGGTACACATAAGTATAATTATCAGAGTACATATAAAATACGCAGTAACTTTAAAACACTTGAAATTTTGGAAAGTTTCCTGACATAATAGATGTGGTCACGGAGAATGTAAACAAACCGGGTGGGATGCGCTGTATTTGAAAGACCGCTTGCTGTACATGTATAGCAAATTTTGGTCATAATTTGACATCGCCGTATTAGCGGAACGCCATAAAGCGGGGCCCTACTGTAAATACTGAATAACTGTATCTCATAAATGTTTAACCTGTGACCCTATCAAACTTTGTTTTTTAAATTACATTACCTAACAGAATACTCCATTCTGTTGAATGCACAGCAACTCTGCAAATGACTATATGACCTGTCTTTGAAATACTCATTTGTGCTTAATTGTTACTTGTTTACTATAATTTTTACCCCTGAATATATCATTGCTTAGTTAATCTGAAGTTAATTTTAAGCCTGCCCATAATGCTCTGCATACAAGGGGCTTTTGGCATGTTACACTTTACCACTGCATTTCTTTGTACATCTATGTATCATGTCCAAATTAATAATAAATAAATAGGCTTAAATAATTATATATAGTGTTTGCAATAAACCCATAATTGGTGGTAGAAGCACTGTAAATTATGTAGATCTAATCTATTATAACCCAGCAAATTTAGTGTGGCTTTTTCTGTTGAAATTAATGCTTTCATAATACAGTGGTACCTTGACTTACGAGTGCCCCAACTTACGAGTTTTCTGAGTTACGAGCCGTCGCTCGGTCTATTTTTTTGCTTTGAGTTGCAAGCCAAAATCTGAGTCACGAGCGAGCTTCAGATATGCCGCCACTCGCAGGAGAGAGGAAATATCAAAAACCTTGATAATAACCAAAGTGTAACATCCTTTCAATTTTGATACCACTGGTGGTGTCATCCTGCCAGAATGTTCTATAACGTATGCCCTAAGAGAAACAATTCTGGAACGTGTAATATATGTTCAGCAGGCCAGCTGGTTGGGTGGCCGGCTGGCTGGCTGATTTGCTTTGGCTGTCTCTATCTCCTTCTGTCTGTGTTTCTATCTGTCTGTGTATGTGTCAATCTGTGTCTGTCCCTCACAGGTACACATGAATACAGTTATACAAAGTGTAAATTACCTAGGATGACCCAAAAAATCCAGACAAAGTGCTATACTATGCTTGTAGATATAAGGCATAATAAACATGACTGGCAAGTAATACACATTTTCACTTGTTCAGGAATCAGACGTGACTGACTGCATCATGTGTAATACCTGTTGGTTCATGAGCGGCTCTCTGAGACAGAGACAAGTAGAGAGACAGGAAGACAGAAACACAGAAAGACAGATAAGCAGAGACAGATAAACATAGAGAGATAGGCAAATAGACAGAAACAAACAGATAGACATCTTTATATGTAATAGTGAAAAATAAAGCCAGGGCAGTACACAATCAACGAATGTCACTCCACGAGTGTCACTCCACTGGCAGTGGAGTGATACTCATCTTATGCCGTGCTTCAAGGAGTTTCATATATATGTACTCCAGCATTTCTAAAAAATTGCTGGGACCTGGCAAAAAAGGCAAAAATAATTTGTTATTTATAAATACATTTTTTCTTGTTTAAAAACCCATAAACAAATTGGGGTGGTTTTTTTGGGGGGCTGGAATGGATTAATGGCATTTCAGTTAATTTCAGTGAGGAAAATTGTTTTGATATACTACAAGCAAATTGAGTTACGAGCTCCGTCACGGAACAAATTAAATTTGCAAGTCAAGATACCACTGTATGTATGTGAAAGATTACGCTGATGGTGGCAGATTGGAAGTGATGTTGGTAGATGTTATGAATAATATTTTGACAGCATAAGATGATTTTAATTTCTATTAGTTCAGTATTTGGGTAGTAAGTACTACTATACTAGTCATACATAGATGAGATAATTGTACATGGCTTTCTAGTACAGTAATAGTTATTATTGGTAGTTTAAAATTTCTTACTTTTATAATATGTTGAAACTTTTCATGATATTTTACGGTTTTAACTGTAAATGTTGCATTTCTCCAACTTTGGTATATTTTTCAGGTTCTACATTCTGACAATGAATATGAAGTAAACTGCTGTGTTCTTATGCTCAGTAAAGCAGCACCATCTCAGTATGGACTTTCATGTGATTAAAACCAAACAGTTTCCACTTTCTGATGGAATTCTTGGTACAAAGAAGCAGTCTGATGAAACTTCAAAAGAACAGAAAATAGGTATTGCTTCTCTCCCAGAAGAGAACATTAATAGCAAGAAGAAAAGGAAAGTTGATGTTCTGGATTGTACTTCATGTGAACATGTGAATAAAGAAGGTAATGAGGAACCACACAACTCCTACTTGTATAAGAATCTGGACTTGGCATTTCCTAGTGTTAAAAGGAGAAGTTTGCAGTGGAGAAAAATCATAAGGAATAATCTTGATTTGGACTATACACTACTCTTTCCATGTGATGTTGCTGATTCTCTGCTGCAGGTGCTTGAAAATGAATTGGATTACTTCACTGGAGACCTTGCCAAAATTCACATCTTTGGCAAGTGGCTTGATGTACCCAGGAAACAGGTATTATAGATGTTTGAGATTCATGTACACTGTACAGTCATCCCTCCAAGTTTACATGTTGGCTACATTCCCACTGACCCCAAGAAAGAGGAATGCTTTCAGTCATTCATTCACTCTTGTCAGAAGCGTGCTAATATCACAATTCGGATGGACCTCTGAACTGTGACATCACCCCCCCCTTCCCCCTTCACAGTGCAGACACTGTACTTCTCACCTCCAGGACACGAGTCTGGATAACCAGCTGTTGAACTTTTACTTCCGAGTTATAAATTGCATTCTCCCTAATTGTTTTTTATAAATATACTATATGGGGAAGCGGTAAAGCATTCTTCCTCTGTAAGCCATGCGTGTCGTAAGAGGCGACTAACATGCCAGGAGCAAGGGGCTAGTAAACCCTTCTGTATATATTACTAAAGTTAGAGAAACTTGTTTTTCTTTTTAAGCCACATTGCCTAGGTGGGATACGGCTGGGTTGTTGAAAGATGATTAATCCTGTCTTAAATCTGCCCAAAATGCTATCCATATAAATATGGGCATTTCCTTGTAAGAATTACTGTTAACTTAGTAATGTAACTAATTTATCCTCATAGGAAATAGTTATTGTAAGGTGAATGTTTATCCTGATGAAATGTGCATGCTTCACTGTTGTCACACAAGTGAATTCTGGTGTTTAGATCAGATGAAGTCTTACCAGTGTACTACTACACAACCACTACAGGAAATGAAGTAAACTGTTATCCCTTTCTGGTGAGATCTAGTAACTTGAGACAATGACTGGAAGATTAATTCCTCTTTTTCTTAACATGTGATATCTGCAGTTTTACCAGTAGGGAAAAATGAACAGTTCATTGCAATCATCACCCTCTTTGGGTGATGAAAACATATTCTAGCCTCTCTATAAGATAGTATGATGTGGGGGCAGCAGATCATGTAAGCTCTTAGAAAGAACTATACTGAAGCTCTCAGTTTGAGTTTTTCTTACCTTGATGGGAGAGGGGTATTATGCTATTCTTGTTTGTGGGCTTGTGGTAGACTGAATTTTTATTGGTCTAGTTTGAGAAGCTGGACATAAAGAAACATAGGGTGTTATCTTGTTTACCTTCCGAGCATAAACTGAATTGAAGATTAGACTGTGTTAGGGCAGCTTTTGAAGTTTTCAAAGGTTGACGGAACTGTGGAAAAAAGACACTTATGTACAGTTCAGGACATTAATTAGAGGAAACGTTTCGCCACGAGTGGCTTCTTCAGTCCTAATACAGAGAAAACTAAGAAAACGCATACATACAGTGGCAGGAGTCAGGTGAGGTGACGCGTGGGTAGAGGTAGTAGTAGTGGAACTAAGGAGGTGATGCTAGAGAGGGACCTGCTGGCATCATGTAACACCAGTTCCCAGGATGGGTAATATCCTCTTGCTTAGTAATTTTGAAATACTGTAACTACCGGATTTTTGCTTTATATTGTTACTGACTGAAATTAGTGCAGCTTCAATGCATTTTCTCCATCTTAAGTCGTCTTCTTTAATCACTAGTTTAGCTTCATTGAATTTCATGAGGTGTCCAACATCGTCCCTATGTTGAACACGTGTTTTTGGGGGCCACATTTTGCAAGCTTTTTTGGTTAGCACCAAATGTCCAGAGATCTGGTGTTTCCCCTAAAATTTACCGGTCAACCCCCCCCTGGTATAGTGTGGTTCCCTGACTTGTGCCAGAATCATGCTTGGGTTTTTTTTTGATCGGGTTTTTCCTAATAGTAGTTGAAGAGCCCCCAAGTTACATCTTTAAAAACGGTCCAGCAACTTTCCCAAAATGTTTCAAAAATTTTGACAGAAAAGGGCTAAAATATCTACCACTCTTCAACTATATAGGACTGATCAAAAACCCAAGCATGATTTGCAAAATGCGGGAATTACCTATCCCTGGGGGGGGGGGGGGGACAAAGTATAGTGGGGGAAACAGCCAGATTTTGGGACATTAGGATAGCAAACCAAAAATGCTTGCAAAATGATGACCGCAAAAAGCGTGTTCAAAAATAGGGAGATGTTGGACCCTCATGAAATTCAATGAGCTAAAATAGTGATTAAAAGTAGACGACTTAAAACAAAAAAATGCATTGAAGCGCCCAATTTTTGTAAGTAAAAACTATAGAGCAAAAATCCCGGGAGTTCAGTATTTTAAAATAAAGCAAGAGGATTTTCCCATCCTGGGAAAAGGGGGTTTCAGATGCCAGCAGGTCCTCTCTGCATCACCCTTAGTTCTTCTTCTTTCTTCTTTTCTTACTACTACACTACTACTACTACACTACTACTACTACTATACCTTTTTACTACTATACTCTATCTACTACTTTTATATACTCTATATACTACTACTACTATACACACACACTACTATACTACTAAAACCCACTATTTTCTACTATACATTATACTCACTACACTATAACTACACTACTATTTACGCTACACTACTAACTATATACTAATTTTTACTCTATACACTATATATACTATATTATACTTACTACTATACTCTACTACTACTACTCTACTACTCTACCCTCCCCCTCCTTCTCTTTCTCTCTCTTTTCTCTCTTTTTCTCTCTTTCTCTCTCTCTCTTTCTCTCTCTTTTCTCTTTCTCTCTTTCTCTCTCTCTTTCTCTTCTTTTTTTTCTGGACAGAGACAAGAGGGGAGACAGGAAGACAGAAACAAGAAGCAGATAAGCAGGACAGATAAACTAGAGAGATAGGCAAATAGACAGAAAACAAACAGATGACTTTTTTATGAATAGTGAAAAAAAAAAAGCCAGGGCAGTACACAATCAACAAATGCACCCCACGGTGTCCCCCCCCTGGCGGGGAGTGATACTCATCTTATGCCGTGCTTAAAGGAGTTTATATTTTTGCCCAGCATTTCTAAAAAAATTGCTGGGACCTGGAAAAAAAGGAAAAAAATATTTTTTTTTTATAAATACTTTTTTCTTGTTTAAAAACCATAAAAAAATTTGGGGGGGGTTTTTTGGGGGGGTGGAATGGATTAATGGCATTTCAGTTAATTTCGTGAGGAAAATTTTTTTGATTATAAAGAAATTGAGTTACGGCCCGTACGGAAAAAATTAAATTTGAAGTCAAGATCCCAGTTGTTGTGAAAGATTACCGATGGTGGCAGATTGGAAGTGATTTTGGTAGATGTTATAAAATTTTTGACAGCAAAAGTGTTTTTTAATTTTATTGGGTTCAGTTTTTTGGGTAGAAAGTACTACTATACTAGTCTAAAAAATAAGATAATTGTACATGGTTTCTAGTACAGTAATAGTTTTATGGTATTTTTAAAATTTCTTACTTTTAAAATATTTTGAAATTTTCATGATTTTTTAGGGTTTTAACTGAAAATGTTGCATTTCCCCAATTTTGGGTATATTTTTGGTTCTACTTCTGACAATAAATATGAGTAAATGCTGTGTTCTTATGCTCGTAAAGCAGACCATTCAGTATGGACTTTCATGGTTTAAAAACCCAAACGTTTCCACTTTCTGAGGGAATTTTGGTACAAAAAAGCGTCTGATGAATTTCAAAAGAAAAAAAAAATTAGGTATTGCTTCTCTCCAGAAGAGAACTTAATGCAAGAAGAAAAGGAAAGTTGATGTTTTGGATTGTATTATGTGAACATGTAAATAAAGAAGGTAATGGGGAAACCCACCAACCCTATTGTATAAAAATCGGACTTGGATTTCTGTGTTAAAAGGGAAAAGTTTGCATGGAAAAAAAACAAAAGGAAAATTTGATTTGGACTTTACACTACTTTTCCCATGTGATTTTGCTGATTCTCTGTGCGGGTTTGCTTGAAAATAAATTGGATTATTCACTGGAGCCCTTGCCAAAATTACTTTTTGGAAGGGGTTGAGTACCGGGAAAAACAGGTATTATAGATGTTGAAATTCAGTACACGTAATTTCCCCCCTCAAGTTTACATGTTGGCAAATTCCCTGCCCCAAGAAGAGGAGCTTTCGTCATTCATTCCTTTGCAGAAGTGGCTAATATCAAATTGGTGGCCTCTGAACGTGACACCCCCCCCCCTTCCCCCCTCACAGTGCGGGACACTGTACTTTCCCCTAGGACCGAGTTGGAAAACCCAGCTGTTGAACTTTTTTTCCCGAGTTTAAATTGCATTCTCCCTAATTTTTTTTTTAAAATATTATAGGGGGAAGGGGGGAAAAAGCTTTTCCTCGTAAGCCATGCTGTCGTAAGAGGCGCTAACATGCGGGCAAGGGGTATAAACCCCTTCTGTATTATTCTAAAGTTAGAGAAACTTGTTTTTTTTTTAAGCCACATTGCTAGGTGGGTACGGCTGGGGGTTGTTGAAAGATGATTAAACTTCTTAATCTGCCCAAAAAAGCTATCCCCATAAAAAATGGGCTTTCCTTGTAAGAAATTTGTTTAATTTTTAATGTAAATAATTTTACCATAGGAAATAGTATTGTAAGGTGAATGTTTTCCTGTGAAAAGTGCTGCTTCACTTTGTCACACAGTGAAATTTGGTGTTTAATCAGATGAAGTTTACCAGTGTACACTACACAACACTACAGGAAAGAATAAACTGTTTCCTTTTGGTGGTCTAGTAACTTGAGACAATGATGAAGATAAATTCTTTTTTCTTAACATGTATATCTGCAGTTTTCCGTAGGGAAAAATGAACAGTTCATTGCAATCATCCCCTCTTTGGGTGAGAAACAAAATTCTGCCCTTTTATAAGATAGTATGATGTGGCAAAGATGTTTTTTATGTCATTTCTCATCTAATTATGTGGGGGGGAGCAGATCATGTAAGCTCTTAGAAAGAATTACTGAAGCTTCGTTTGAGTTTTTTTACCTTTAGGGAGAGGGGTATTATGCTTTTTGTTTGTGGGCTTGTGGTAGAGAATTTTTTTGGTCTAGTTTTAGAAGTGGACATAAAGAAAATGGGTGTTATCTTGTTATTCCGACATAAACTGAATGAAGATTTGACT